CGCAGCCACACCTGTCTTATAGTGGAGACTCACGATGCCCTCCACGTGCCTGCCAGCCGAGGGACCAGGGAGAGGGAGCTGAAGCTGGCGGAGAGCCCAGGCCCTCCGCTCCTTGCCCACGTAGCCTGGTGAGTGCTCCCTGGCCCAAGACACAGACCCTCTGTTCTCCCAGCCTTCTCCACCCCAACCCCACCAGCCTCACCGAGATGTGATGTCCCAGAGCCGCAGTGCGTCTTGGCCATAGTAGCAAGAGTTGACTCCCAGGAGCCCCCTGTCAGCCAGGTCATCAGTGGGAAAAATGATCGGTAGGTTAGGAAGTGTCCAGCTCTCTGGAGCAGCTGCACGTGGCCTCCTCCGCCTGTGCTCACCACCTGAGGAGCCAGGATGTGCAAGGTCAGCGACTGGGTGGGCAGGAGGGAGAAGGAACCCCAGCATTACCATTTCTCTCACCATACCTGATCAAAACGCCAAAGTCAGAGACCAGCTGGTCCTGGCCCGGAGGTTAATTTCCATGGTATACTGCAGGTGGGGAAGCATAAACTAGAGGGAGAGAGGCGGGGAGGGAGGGAGGGGGGACACAGCAGGGGGGAGCAACATCAGAGAGTGCTGAAGGCCCTGCAGAAAAGAGGGTTGCAGTAAGAAAGGCTCCCATTCTTCAGGGAAAAGACAGCCTCTCAAGATCCACACTGAGAGTTTACAATCAACTGGCTTATCCTAATCAGTCCCACGGACCATTGATTCACTGCTTCATGATCATTGGAAGCGGTGTTTCCTGCTTTTTATTGGAGCTGTTCAAAGGCTAGCTCGGTGTTTTCCCAACCCTGTTTTTCATGATCACTCCCCTGAATGGGAGAAGCTGTTAAGAAGACACATGGCTGCTCATGGGAAGGACCTTGAAACTCGCCACTGGGAACCCTGTGGAGCATGGTCCCACTGGGACAGCCATGGGGTCACCATGCGTTACAGTCGGCTCAAGGGCAAGTGGTTGACGGCACTTTTTTATACACTTTTTTACTAATTATCCTTCCCACCATGAAATTTTAATACCACAGATACATTTTTATATGTATCTGTGCATTTTATATGTATCTATATATGCACACTATATATACAGATGTGTGTGTGTTTGTTCTGAACAAGTCTCTTTGCTTTAGACATATAAAGAGCAAGACTTTTTGTGCCTTCCAAAAAATCGTTTGCTCAGGAAGTGATATCACCCTGAGAACGCTGACGCCCCTCATCTCTCTTGCATCTACCCTTCGTTTACTTTTGCCTTCTTTCTGTTCTTCACACTTGTCCAGGCATTCAGGATGTTTACATTAGCTGTTCCCTCTCCCTGACCTACTGGGCCCCTGGATCAGCTCGGCTGGCTCCTTGTGACCTCCAGCTCGGTGCCATCTCGTTGGAGGAGTGAGACCACACGATCTACATTCACCATCCAGCCGCTCCCCAGCCTTATCACCAAATTTGAATTGTCTGCGCTGAACTGGTCTCGGCTGAGAAGTTATATACTGTCCTCATTGGCCCTGCATTGAACAGTGTTCAATTGGCACTGCATTGAACACGCTAAAGAATGGGGCTTTGCCTGTCTTTAATGGATGATTCGTTAGTTCTAATTATACCAAATCAGGTTACTGCTGTTAGCCTGAGAAGTTATATACTGTCCTCATTGGCCCTGCATTGAACAGTGTTCAATTGGCACTGCATTGAACATGCTAAAGAATGGGGCTTTGCCTGTCTTTAATGGATGATTCGTTAGTTCTAATTATACCAAATCAGGTTACTGCTGTTAGCCTGGGTTTCTCGAATTGGCCTAGGTGTTCCTAGAACACTTCAAAGACTGACTTGGAAATAGCAAGTACTATCTGTTCAGGGTATGGAACCCCCTTGCTCTCCCCGTGTGTGAGAGAACTGTGTCTTGGTTCCTCAATGACTGGTTTGTCGGGGGTAGATCACCAGTTCTTTCTTTGGAGGCACCTGTAGGTAGACTCAAATCTCCAACCTCCTGTTAACAGCAAATGCTCTAACTACTTGTACCACCCAGGAATTTCCATATACCCTATGTTTTAGACATGAAAAAGAGGAAGACTTTCTTTTTTAACCATTTCCCTCAAGAAGCATGTTCAGCTCCTTGGAAAGTGCTACTGCTCTTTGAGAAGGCAGGCAACCCTGCTCTCGTGCCTTACTGTCCTATCTTCCCCTACTTGCCTCTCCCGGCCTCCATCCGGGCCCCAGTCCAGGCCCCAGGGAGTTGCCCAGAGAGGGTACTCTAGAGGTGGAAGGCGTCCTGGGGCAGAGAAAGGACAGACAGGAGAGCC